TTTTAAGAAAATTTTTTAAAATGAAACTTAATATAAAAAAAAATTTTAATTATCAAATTTATTTTAAAAAAAAAAAAATAGGTTATTAATTACTATAATAAAAATATTTAATTTTATATTATTTATCTATTATAAATTATTTATTTATAAATTAATAAATATAGTAAATTTATTAATAAAAATTTATCAAAATAAAATTTATTATTATATATTGACTAATTAAATAAAATTATATTTATTTTATATTATATAAAAAATTATTCTAGTGATAATCATTATTAGTGTTATATGATTTTAATATATAAATAAAGTTTTTTCAGTATTATTTTTAAATTTTTATTTCTACATGATCATAGAAATATTTATCATTCTATGTAATACCTTTTATGTTTTCTATTTTTATAAATATCATAAATTTTTTTACATTTTGTATTTTTATATTATAAGATAATATAGAATCAGTATTAAAGAAAATCCAATATTCTTTATAGATTTTTGATTAAATTTTTACTGATTTTTAAAATCATATATTTATTAAAGTAAATATTAATAAATAAAAAAATAATATGTAATAAGCATATCTAAAAACTTAAATTTTTTTTAGAATGCAAAATCATATTTATCATTTTTTATTTATTATATAATTAATTTCTTAATGTTATAATATCAGCCAAAAATCATGTAAGAGTGAAAACTTAGTGATAATACTAAGGTAGTTATATAAATAATTTGTTACTTCATATTATATTCATTTTTACTATATATTTTGAGAACTTAAAAATTTTGTAAAATCATATTCATTTCTAATTTTAGTTAGAATTTATAATATAGATTAAAATACTATTTTAAAAAATTTAGTGATATTATATAATACTAAAAGACAATTTAATTTTGATAAAATTTAAATTAGATTATATAAATATTCAAAAAGAAAATTTGTGATACTAATGATAAACATTACCAATAATTAATAATAAAATTCTTTTATATATATAACATAAATTATAGAATTTAGTAATTAACAAATTATTATTTATTAAATTATATTGTGAAAACCTTAGGTTCAAGCTTTAACTGAAGCATAAAACTGTATGATGATATAAGATTTTCATTATAATTAAATACAAGAGTATATAGATTAATATATATTAATATCTAATTAATCAATTTATCAATCAATGTTAATTATGCTTAAATACTAGCTTTAAAAAATAAGTAAATATAAATGAACTAGAGGTTAACAAAAACTTGACCTTCATTAATAAATTCTATTTTACATCTTCAAATAGTAGGGATTCTTATATAAATAAAGTGATTAATCAGTAATTAGAAGATTTAAGTACTATCTTCTGATAGCTATGATAATAACTACATTATATGTTATAATATCATTCAAATTGAGCTATCACTAGAATAGAGGTTAAGTCAATTTTCAAATGAATTTAATAATATGAATATAATAGTTATTATCTTTATATTTCTATATGAAAATGGTAATTCTTAAAATATAAGTTTTGTAAGATTATTTATTATTAAACTTACTTAATAATAGGTAAAGATTGTAGTTTCTAGTAGAATTATGATAAAATAAGATGTAAAAAGTTTTATAATTGAAATGATTTCTCTATCTAGTGGTTAATGGTACTCAATAAGATCTAGTAAGCCTATTATTGTAAGTATAGTTATTTCAAATATTTAAATCTAAGTGGTAACTGTATAAGGATATAATTTTAGGCAAGTTGCTGATACTTCTATAAATATATCAGAGATCTAAAAATTTTCTAAAATAGAATAAAACATATTATATTAATAGAATGCCTATAACTTAATCTTCAGATATTACATATTAATAAAAAAAAATTTGTCAGAATATCTTTTATGTAAATTAATCAAATATGTAATTATCAATCAGAAATTTAATTGATATAATCAATTAAAATTAGTTCAATTTTAATTGAATCTAAAAGTTTGTAATCAAAAATTGATTGACTTAAAGCATTTTCAAGCACTTCAATTAATAGGCCAATATATAATCTGATTGGTTAAAAAAGTATTATAGAATTCTTATTTCAATAAACATTCAGAAAGTTACAAATCACCTTTTTTTTAAATGATTTACAATTAATAGAGTATGCTCAAGTGATAAATATTATAAATATTAAAGTAAAAAAATAAATATTTACTTTTCTTATTAATGTATAGCAGTTTCATTAAATATTAATAATTCTGTTATAACAAAAGTTACAGTTCATAAAATCATTAAAAGGAATAGTATTAAAAGTTGGATTTGAAAGATTTTTATTTCTTATTAGGCATGATGAAAATTATTAGAAAAAAAAATTTTAATGTAGATTGATAAAAGAGCATGCTTAAGTTTATATAATTCTATTGATTTTATCATTGATTGTGATACTTGAGCATAATGACATAACCAGACAATCTTATTAAAGGAAATGCTTGAGAATATTTTTAATCAATCATTTAATCTTTTTTAAAATGCTCTAGTTATAATTATCCTAGTATTACAAATACTTTTTCATTTCTGTGATTTTTTTAACTAATATTACTTAACTTGATCATATGACAAATAAGATGAAAATAGAATTTTTACACTAAAAAAATTCTAAGTTCTTAGAATACATAGTAAAAATGAACAAAACTGTATATAATAAATGATAACAAATTATATAAGATTATGTAAAGGTGAAAAAGGTGTTGGTAATATTGAAAAGATCATAGTTATCAATTCAAGTATTAATCTTCGGTCAGAAATAAAATTATTGCTATTTGGAAAATATTTGCTAACTCTTGCCAAATTTATAGTACTGGCCTAAGTTAATTTTAACCTCTACGCGCGTGACATCTGATATAAAAACTCGCGTTTAACAAACATCAAACCAAATTCAATCCCACGTGATTGGTAATTTTGACCTTTAGTTAATTCGTGCCTTCACAATACTTGTTTGTAAATTATAGAGCCAATGTTCCCTTTGCTGATCGAGCCATTAAGCAAGTGTTGCAAGCTATTTTGACTGGAAAATATTGACATAAAGGTAATGGAATAAATGCTAATTTTTCATGATTTTTTTTTTTACATATTTCTTTAATTCAGAACTTTGTATAATTTAGTTTTAAATAAATATTTTCATGCTAAAAAGTCAATTGGACGATTTTTATATCTTTAAGATCCATTGGTTTTGCTTTATTGCATTATAGTACTCCTCAAGAATTTGATATATTTCTATCGCTTATTCCAATTGCTGAAAGACTAAGAATCTTGAAACTAATAATGTTAACTCGTAGAATCGGGTATTTAAAAATGTAAAGTATCGTAATACTCTACTTAATAAATCTTATATTGGAGTCTCCTCATCAACTGATTCTTCTCATCCACAGCTTTGCAGAACCATAATTATTGGTCTGGTCAATTAGCTTATTACAAGGTGCTAAGGAAAAAATTCAATTGATGCAAGAAGTTACAGCTTTTTTTGAAAATTAAATTCCAATGTTCCTTCGTCGCCATCCTTGGTACAAGTCACAATCAGAAATGATAGCGGGAAAATGATATATGTTTGGTACTTTATCAGGATCAGTTGCTCGTGTCGCGTCTAGTAACTGCATGGTGTGTGCTTGTTTTTATTATTATTATTATTTTTTTTATTTTTTAAGGTGTATTTAATAAATTTGATCAATTTTAAATACATGAAACTAGTGTCGCGTATCTTTAAGGATAGCTCTATCATATTATTAAAGCTGGCGTTAATTATTATAATTGGTTAGTATATTCAATTGATTAAATTTACCAATAATTTATATATTAGTACGCAAAAGTCTAAAGTTATATTGACGATTTTTCAATTCTAATAATCGTGGGGGTATCAATTTCAATCAAAACGTTATTTCCTATGTTCCTTACCAAATTCATCATGTTAACGGTTAATGAAAGGTTCGAAGATTTCACATAATCTGAATTCGAGAATGATATTTCCAATCATTTGGACGTGCAATCTGATCATTATTTCGAAGATATTCATCTTTGGGTTCTTGGTCATAAACAATATATAATTCAGGACCGCAGGTGATCATATCATGTAGCTAACATCAATTGGCGGAATTGGCGCCCATCAATTTCTTATTAGCATTATGAACACAAACTGTTTCGGACTTTTTTATCTTGAATCATCGTAATAGTTGATGAAGAAACACCTTTGTCCACTGACATTGTACAACCTCAACCACCAAAAAATCTCAAGGTGTGTAAAGAAGATTTAACCGTGAATTATTATTTGCGTGTTTTGATAATTG